GAGCGGGTTGACGACGACGTGCTGCTCCTTGTCCTTCTCCTTCTTCTCCCGCTTGTGCTGCTTGTCCTTCTTGTGCTCCTTCTTGTGCTCCTTCTTCTCTTTCTTGGCGTCCTTCTCGCGCGGGCTGCCGCTGCTGCTGCTGGTGCCCTTCTCGCGGTCCTTGCGCGGACCCAGCAGCGCATTGCCGACGATGCCGATGCTCTTCCGCTTCTCCCTGGGCGACGGCCTATTCGCCGACGACGAGTCGATGGTGTAGCTGCTCGAGGTGCCCAGCGACCCCGACGGCGGCGCCGGCTTGACGAACGGCGAGACCAGCTTGGCGTGTCGCTGGCTGGCGCTCCTCTTCTCCTTCTTCGCAGGGTCGCGATCGAGGAAAGAAAGCAGCGACGAGCCGTCAGTGCGTCGCGGGCTCTCCTCGTCGCCGCCGCCGCCGCTGTCGTCATCGTCGTCGCTCACGTCATCGTGGGAGAGCACGCGCTCGATGGCTCGGCACTCGCCGCTCTCCAGCCCCGGCTGGTGCGCCAGCTCGACTCGCTCGGCCACCGTCGCCAGCGCCGACTCGGCCACCTCGGCCGGCACCTGCACCAGCTTTCGCGTACTGCACCATCATTGTAGGCACCGGTTAGTGACACGTCAGCAGCAATTGCAGGTTGCTTGCGCGGTTCGTACTTTTTGTGTTCGACCCACCAGACGTCGTCCCGCTTCTGGAAAACGAAGACGATGTCGCCGGCCTGCAGGACCAGATGCTCGGCCTCGGTCGCCGGCGACGTGGACAAAGGCGACGATTTTATGTCCGAAGTCGCGCGTGCCACCGACAGGTGGTGGTGGTTACCCTCCTCGCTCGTCTTCGCGAAGAACAGCTCTTCCTGCAGACATATATATATTAATTAACAGCCAATATTGTCTGTTTTCTTTCTCTATTTCTATGTATAAAGAGATTCATGGGAGACGTACGTCGGGGGTCGAGATGAGGATTTCGAGGACCTTGGCCGCACGAACGGCCTCCTGGACCATGGCATGCACCACCGCCGAATCGCTTGCCCTTCGCTGATGGTGGCGCCTGTAGTACGAGTACCACACGGCAGAGGTATCCAATGAGCCACGCATATGCGTCTGATCACTTGCGGCGCGCGCGCTCAAGTGCTGACGTACTGGTGTCGCGGTGGGAGGACAACGCTGCCGGAGGCAAAGGCCGTTTGCTGGAAGGCCGGCTTCTCGCGCATGAGCACCGGCGCGAGCGTGGTGGCCAAGTTGTGGAGGTCCATTCGGTTCTCCCCGCTGTTTTCAGCATAACAAAAGAAATAATTAACATATAAACAAATATGTAAATATTCTTTTTTTAAAATAACAACCAATAAATGTTGATAAATTTATGGAGGGAGGGAAACCTGTGGGCGACGACGTTTCGGAGGTAAATGAGCAGACGGCGGAGAAGCGAGCGCGAGGAGGGCGCCAGCGAGTTGAGCAGTGCCACCAGGTACGCCAGCCGCGCGGCATCGTCGCCCTCTGCAGCGTTGATCGCAACGACGATGAAAGAAATGAGTAACATACATTAATGTGAGCGAGAGGAGAATAACATAAATGAACGTACGGACGGCAGAGATGTATCGCTGGTAGAGCACGCTGGAGAGAAGCGCGTCGGGCAGCTCGTGGAGGAATTTCTTGAGAAGGTTGATCACCATGTGCGCTCCACACTCGCTGAAGTTCACCTCCTGCCCTCTGTATATGTACCACGCGTCGTGTGGTGAAGAGTTGAGCGAGTGAGAGACCGTAAAAAAAAAGAGAGAAAGAAGTGCATTGCGCGCGATGCATTACCTATCGATCTGTTCCTTGATGCGCATCATCTCCTCGAAGTTGCTCGACAGACGGAAGATGCCCTCCGCCTTCAGCGCTATTATGTGCGCGCATGCCCGTGTGTATGCGCGTTAATGATTTGAGGTGTTGGGGGTTCTAAGAGAGTCTGGGAGAGTGGGAGGTGTATACCTTCTTCGGTCTCGAGAAACTGGAGCATGGAGGTGACCATCTTGGGGATTACGCCTTCGGCTTCCTCCCCCACCGGCCCGGCTGCAACCTCGCCACCATCGGGTTTAGCGCCGGCGCCGGCTTCGCGTTCCGGCGACTCGCGCCTGAGGAGTTCCGCGAGCGGCACGCCGTACACGCGATCGCGCTTGGCCGTCGTGTCGGAGTTAGGTGTGGTGTCTTCCTTTGAGTCCGAGCGGTTGAGGCTCCGCATGCGCTGCCGCCATTTCCGTATCGTCAGTCCATCCGATGACGTGCTGCTATAACACAACACACACACACACACACACACACACACACACACACACACACACCACAAACACGACAGGAATGAGTAACGAGAACGACACAAAGAATGTTGGGAGGGAGGGAGGAGCCCACTTGAGTACTCCAGGATTCGTTGTTGCGGCGACCTCGCGAGGCGAAAGCATGTGGCGGGTCGAGGCCAGCGACCCGGGTCCTCCTCGAAGCGGGTTCTGTGTCACGCGCAGGCCCTCACCCGACATGTTCCTGCGGAGGCAGCCGGCCAGGCGGTGAGCGCCTTTCCAGTACTCTTCACCACACGCAGAGAGAGAGAGAGAGAGAGACCTGGTGAGTACGGATGACCGGCGCCCGCTGTGCGGACTGCTGCCAAGAGAATTTCTGCGCCCGAGGGATCCCTTGCCATTCTGCTGAGCCAATACAGAGTTAGATGAGCGGTTGTGTGGTGTGGTGTGGTGCGGTGCGGTGCGGTGTGCGCGAGGCGTATGTGTGCGTGTGTGCACATGACTGGTACCTCTTCCCCGTCGTCGTCGTTCGAGTCGCTGTCCTCGTCAAACTCAGGGGATATCGAAATCTTTCGTTGAATGTTTCCCGACCGGGACAGCGGCAGCTGGCCGCTGCCGCCACTGCACAAGGAGAGTGGCGCGATGAGATGATAAAAAAACGTTTGATGCTGCTACTGCTGATGTGTCCGTACCCGACCGTCATGATTTCATCAGATGAAGTGACGCGATAGGCCGTCTTCTTGAGAAGAAGCGCGGCGTTTCGGGCCACGTTGTTGTCGGACAGAGTCTTGTTCAGGTCCAGCAGCTCGTCTGCAGCGACAGATAGGTCAACTCACCTGATCGCACGCACGCAAACACGCACGCACGCAAACACGCACGCACGCACACACACGCACACGCACGCACGCACACACGCACGCACGCAGAGGAAGGAGAGGGGTACAGCTGGTGGGTCCGGGGCGGTAGTGGTGGGTGCTGGATTTGTGTCCACATCGTCGGCACATACCCGACATTCCGCTGTTTCGTCCCATCGACGACGCCAGGTAGTCCTCACAATTGCAATCCGAAATGGTACACGCCCCCCTGTCCTTAGAAACTGATTGGTGTGTGCGATTGTTTGTGCGTGTGCGATCGTGTGCGATTGTGCAGTTGTGTGCGGTGGTCAGTGGGTGAATTGGTGGATCATCATCGATGGATGATGTGGGACATTACCTTTGTCGGTAACGGCGGCTTCTTTCTGGAGGCAGTAGCGGGACAGGAAGTCGGCGGTCAGTGTCTCCCCGAACCCGGCCAATATCGTGGGCAACACCGCCTGTGTGTGTGGTGTGTGTGTGTGTGTGTGTGTGTGTGTGTGTGGTGCACGCGACGTGAATCGCGATAAACTGGCATCAGCAATCGATGCACACTACGAGCGACTGGGACCGACAGCCACTAACAACACCACTTACGTCGAGCGGTTCGCTAAAGTCGATAATGAAGGGCTTGGTCATCGTCACGTAGATTGTCTGCGGTCGCAACTTGAGCATCAGCAGTTCCTGTAACACAAGAAGGCACACGCACACGCACACGCACACGCACCACCGCACGCGCTCTGGGTTTCAGCGCAAGGCAGGCGCACACGCGGTGGCGAGTGAACGTACGTCGTCGGCGATGTCGAAGCTGGCCAGGGCGGCCGAGTCGGAGAGCAGCTCCCACTCGCCTTCTCGGCCCTCCTCCTTTCGCTCGCGGTAGAGGCCCAGGAAGCCCGTGTTCAACCCCCGGCTCTTCTCCCCATGTTGCCTGGGCCAGCCAACATAAAAAGTAAAAATCAAAAGATGAGCTTGTGGTTGCATAGGTGTAATTATGGGTTTAAAAATAAAAGTGATAATTACTTGTTGTCTGTAGGCCCATAATATTCCTTATTTAGGCTGAATGTGCCACACAAAGAACGAAGCCGAAGAGACAAGAAGAACGAAGGAGGCGCAAGAGGGGGGGGGGAGTAAAACGGAAAGAAAAGGAAAGGAGACTTGGATGGGGCGTACCAGTGGTAGGCGGCTATAAACTGCCGAACGGTTTGGGATTCGTCGGGGAGGTCAAAGTTTATAATCTTTCCGCCCTTCTCTTGGTCGACGATGCGCAGAGACCTTTGCTTGCCTCCGTTCATCTTCGCTTTTGCCCTATGAGAGGTTTAATCCAATGTGGGAGAGCAAAGGCAGGCGCTTTGGTAGATCAGCTGTTCGTAACGTCCTCCAACGCCTGACCGCCTGTTGTTGTGGGCGAACCGAACGGTAAAATTAATTCATTTGAACAGAGCTTTTTTTGCAATTTTCACTTCTATTTTCTTTTCGAAGTTGAAAGGAAAATAAAGAAGAAAAGGGAGCTCAGGTGCCGCGTCTATCCTGGCGGGATTTCATCGCACTCGCCCAACATTCAGTAACTCTCAACAGAGGACTCCCCTCTCTCACAACTTCAAGAACCACACATAAGACCTAAACCACAGCAAACACACATCACCACCCTCATCAGCAACCGCGGAAGTACCTCCACCTCAACAGACCATCACAATGAATCAGCAACAGCAGCAGGGCTCCGCCGTTCCTTACCCTCCCCAGGCCTTCCCGCCCCAGCAGCAGCAGCAGGGCGGCGTGGCCTATCCCCCGAGCGCCATGATGGGCGCCCCCGGCATGGCCTACGGCGGCGACGCCGCCGGCTACACTGGCACGGGCATGGCCATGCAGCAGACCCCGGGCCTCATGGCCGACCCCTACGCCAAGCCCCAGTTCGCTGGGGCCTACCCGCCCGGTGCCTACCCCCAGGGCCAGCCGCAGCAGCAGCAGTACGCCCCAGCGGTGGCGATGGGCACGCCCATGGCCGCGGCGGCTGCGGCTGCGGCGCCCATGGCTGGCTCGGGCCTGCCCCAGCAGCAGGGCGGGGAGGACCTGTACTCGGTGGCGCAGCAGTACGGGCTGAGCCGCGAGGAGGCCGACGGGGCGCTGGCGGCCTACGCGGAGATGAACGGGATGGACCGCGGGGCGCTGAGCTCGTTCGGCCTGGGCCACGTCCAGAAGATGCTGGGCAACGTGTTCGGCGGCGGACATGGCCACCACGGGCACGATGATAGCCACGCCCACTCGCTGGCGGGCGCCCTGTCGGGCGCGCTCGCTTCGGGCCGCGTGCCTCCCTTCAAGGACTTCCTGGGCATGCTCGGCGCCTACAAGCTGGTACTCACGTTGTGTGTGTCGTGTCGTGTCGTGTCGTAAATGTGTTGTGTACGATGATGACTGATGATGGTTTGGTGTGGCACACAGCAATCGGGACTCGGAATGGGGCATGGCGGCAAGGACAAGAAGGACAAGAAGGAGCACAAGGACAAGAAAGACAAGAAGGATAAAAAGGACAAGAAGGACAAGAAGCACTAAGGCAATCGAGAGCCCTAGCAGTGTGCGTGTAGAGACATCGCCACTCATGCTTCTTCATTCAACCAACAATAAATTGGAATTCATCAATGCTGTAGATGGCGCACGAACTTCCGGTGAAGGACCAAGGGGTGAAACAAGGTCACATCATCGTCGAACAAGACGAAGTCGATGGCCTTCATGTCGAGCGAGTTTTGTGCTTGGCAAAGCCGGCGAGATTTCCTCAGCGGGCCTCCGAAGTCATCGCGCCGGCAGGCGGACTGCCGGCAGTACGGCGAACCACAACTGTGAACGAGGCGGGTGGAAGGAGGACGTCAGAGCATTGAAGCCAAGAGGAAAGCAATCATAGACATAACAGCTCCGCAAGGTGGTGCATTTCGCGGTCGTTGCAGATCAAAAAAATTCGGGTGATTTTCGAAGACGGTCTGTAATTGCGCCGCTACTCGAATCTTCATAGAGACAAAGAAGATGGAAGGCGTCCCGCCAGGCGAAGAGAAGGTGTCAGATGGACAAGCTCTACACGGTGCAGGAGAAGTAAACGTGACTGCAGAGAAGAATGCCGATGGCAAGGAAGAAAGAGCCAACTTCGAAGCTCCACGACGGTCGTGGAGCACCTTTGCAAGGCGTACACCAAAAATCAAGTACGTAATCCCCAATGGATTTATTTCTCCATTTTAAATTTATTCATTGAAACGTCATGATCATTTGCTTCATCTTCTCTGTTTTGCATTCATTCACCATTGGGGCCACAGGAGTGCGTCGGCACCGGACAACAAGATAGCCGCTGCTGCCGCAGTAACCGACGCCGAAGCCACCACATCACCCGAAGCTGTAACGGCGCCCGAACCGCCTTCCTCCTCCTCTGCCGGCTCTAGCCCGCAGACGGCGACGTCGCTCTCGACCACATCGGCCTCCTTTCCCTCCGGCTCGTCGCTCTCCTCCTCCGCCATTCCTGTCACCACCCCGTCATCGCTGGCCTCCTCCGCCTCCACGCCCGGCCTGCCGCTCTACCTGTCCTCGTCTTCCCTGCTGGGCAGCGCCAGCAAGCAGGAGCAGCCGGCCGCAGTCGAGCGAAGGTCGTCGGGCCTCAAGTGGTTCCAGCGCAAGACGCCACCGGCAGCGGCGGCGCCGGCCGCCGACAACAGCAAGCCACTCTCCCCGCGAGGCGACAGCGACAAGAAGGACCACCAGCAGCAGGAGAAGAAGGACAGCAGCAGCAGGTGCGCACACACCGCCCAAGCCCGAAGAGAGCATCATCAGTACAGTGCAATGACGGAAGTTGAAAACCACATGTGTTTGCTGTGCAGCGGGCCGTTGGAGACCATCTGCCCCGTGTCGTATGCGGACTTGAAGCGCCAGCTCGACATGGTACGTTACGAACGACGCAAACGTAACTCTGCGCCGGCTGGATTGGGGAGAAAGAGAGCTGACGCCATCACTCTATATCACATGTCGGGGCGCCAATCCAGTTGAAACGCGAAAACAACCGACTGCGCTTCGAGAACAGTCATCTGTTCAAGGAGCTGGACATCGTGCACCGACAACTCTCGCTCAAACTGAAGCCACCCACACGTAAGTGTCACTCCTCCTTCGCCTCATCATTTGACGACAGAGAGCGAACACAACCTGGGCCATCATGTGAGTAGCTCACTTCAATCATCCATCCATCCACCCATCCATCAGCCAAACTGAACAAGCAAAACTCTTCGCTGGACATCCTGAGCTCACAGACGGCCTACTCGTACAATATCGACACCGGCCTCTCCTACAAGTGCATGCTCACTCCCCCCCTCCTGCTCCTACTCCTGCTCCTCCTCCCCAGAGCTAATTCTGACCATCATTTTATGTGTGGCAGCCTCCCTCTGGACGAGTTCTTGGAGCAGTACTACAAGGACTACCCCGAATCGCTTGCCGACCTCACCATCTATCAGGTATGCTATGCTTGAGTGCTTGAGTGCTTGCTTTCTGGTTTGCTTGAATGCTCAACGTCGACGACGTGATCTCGACGTTCGTTGGATGCGCAGCGCAAGGGCAAGCTGGCGTCGTTCAGCATGCGAAACGGCGGTGATGGAGTCGAGGAGGACGAGCGGAGCAAGATCAAGGCCAACCTGGAGTCTGCGCTCATCAGCCAAGAGGACGGCAAGTTCACGCAAGGCGAGGGACAGACGCCACGACACGAGTCTTTCATCCCCACGATCGTCAAGCGCCAGTTCGCCCGGTAATTCAACTTCATGCACGTTGAGGCCTGTGTGCTGCGCACTCACAAAGCTGTGTGTGCGTGCGTGTCGTGTGTCGTGTGTCGTGTGTCGTGTAGGGACGTCCCGAGCATGATACGGATCAATGGCAAGATTGTGAATGGGCGAACGGACAACGAAAAGGTGCTGATCGCCTACCGAATCCTGCACGACGGCCTCGCCGGTAACGATAAGCTGGTCAACCTTGTTATGAGCCTCGCCAATCAGAATCTCGGCATCTTCATGTACGAGAAGCTCGTCAAGTACGCACACCCTCTTCCCTGTCGCCGACGTGGCGTGTGTGGCGTGTGTGGCGTGTGTGGCGTGTGTGGCGTGTGTGGCGTGTGTGGCGTGTGTGGCGTGTGTGGCGTGTGTGGCGTGTGTGGCGTGTGTGGCGTGTGTGGCGTGTGTGGCGTGTGTGGCGTGTGTGGCGTGTGTGGCGTGTGTGGCGTGTGTGGCGTGTGTGGCGTGTGTGGCGTGTGTGGCGTGTGTGGCGTGTGTGGCGTGTGTGGCGTGTGTGGCGTGTGTGGCGTGTGTGGCGTGTGTGGCGTGTGTGGCGTGTGTGGCGTGTGTGGCGTGTGTGGCGTGTGGCAGCGCGTGGCAGCGCGTGGCAGCGCGTGGCACTCACACCGCACCACTCCTCAACCAGGCACTACACACAGATAGGAATGATTGTCAAGCAGAGCTGGCATCACTATCTGGACATCACGCTGAGCCGGGTGAAGATCAACAAGTATACCAACAACAAGAACGTCATCAACGAGCTCGTCGACGAGTACCTGCGCAAGGAGCGGGCCGCCGCCTCGACGTCAGCCTCGACGAGCCAGCCCAGCCGCCAGAAGTATGAGGAGGGCGTGGTCTATCTCTCCGAAGAGGAATCCAGCAGTGACCACGAAGTGTCTTCGACCCGTACCAACACCCTCTTTAGTGTGTGTGGTGCGTGCGTGCGTGTGTGTGTCTCGTGTGTGTGTGTGTGTGTGTGTGTGTGTGTGTGTGTGTGTGTGTGTGTGTGTGTGTGTGTGTGTTAAACACACGCGGCTCATTTGCTTTCTTCTTAGGTCGACGCACACGATCGCGAGGAAAGGTGGGGCGAGGCGGACGCCGGAGGGCCAGCCGGGCCGATCTGGCGCCGGCGGAAGCGGCGGAGAGTCCGTCGATGATGGACGAGGACAAGGCCAAGCTCGTGGAGGGTATCGGCATCTACATGCTCGCCATCTTCGAACTCCAGAATACGGACCTCGATGGCGCCCCGCTGTTCATCAAGGGCATGATGGAAATCAGCTTCCGGAACAGCCCCGACGGTATGTTGTGCGGTGTGTGCGGTGTGTGCGGTGTGTGCGGTGTGTGCGGTGTGTGCTGTGTGTGCTGTGTGTGCTGTGTGTGCTGTGTGTGCTGTGTGGGGTACTAATCGTGAGAGGTATATGCAGGTGGGGCGGTGCACGTGTTGTACTCGACGCCGGCGTTCGATGTGCTGTCGTTCGTGCACTCGATCGACTTGGACGCATCGCTCGGCGACAGCGGGACGGAGTCCGAGGGCTCCGACGACGACGACGACGGTGACGAGGCCACGAGCAACGCCGAGGCCAAGCGGCAAGAAGAGCGAAGGCTGCGACATTCGACCGACGACGAACAGGGCAAGAAGGAAGGCCAAGAGGCGAAAGCGAAAGCGAAAACGACGGAGGCCGCCCACGAGCAGAAACACCAAGAAGGGAACACACAACTCGGCAGTGATGATGTCCCAGTCGTCGTCGAGGGCGAGAACGAGGCCAAGATGAAGGAGGCGCACGGCGACGCCGACGCCGACCGACTCCCCACCACCGCTACTACCACTGCCGCCAGCGCCTACCAGGAGAAGCCAGAGCCTCCTAAGGAGTCCTCAACGGCGTGTCAGCAGATCGAGCAGCCACCCGAACGACCGCAAGACATGAGCGATGCCTCTACCGCCGTCGCCGCTGACGACGAGGATGAGAAGGTGGTGGTACAGAAGGGCCGGCGACGGCGGGTCCTGTCGATGCGCGACCTCACCCTCGCCGGCATCCCAGCCCCGGCCAAGGCCGACTCGACGTCGACTTCGCCGCGCGGCGAAGAGGCGGCGGCCGACACGCGGGAGCGCGCGCGGAGCCTCGGGCGGAGGGAGGACGAGGAGTGGTTCCGGCGCATGGAGGAGGAAGTAGCCGGCCAGACCAGCCCGCGCGGCTCCACCACCGGCACCGGCAAGGAGAACTGATACCACCGTTCTTCTTCTTCTTCTTCAGTATTTATTATTGTAAGTAGCACTTCATCTTCACCCCCTTGGCCCACCCCCAGCCCGCCTGTGGCCTGCCCCTCTTCTTCTTCTTCTTCAAAACTCATCTTCTTTCACTAGTGTGCCCAAAAGAAGAAAGAGAAGTGAAGTGTGGAGTCGTACATAAATAGAGTTGTGCACAGGGGAAAAGTTGATGAGCTTGGTCTCATCATGAGATCATCACTTGTCGCCAGAGAACCTGTCCAGGTTGTTCCACAGGAACTTCTCCTCGTCAGCCAGCATGTCCCGCGCCGATTTCTTATCTAGGAGGAGAGACACACACAAAGTTCTCAGGTCAGCTGTCATCACCATCATCGTCCTTCATCTTCATCATCGTCTTCATCAGTCAAGTCGTGCCTTCTTCATCAGAGTGCAAGTGGGACCCATCGGGGATGGCGATCTTGGCGACCTCGGGGCGGCTGGAGGACTTGGCCGCCTCGGCAACCGGCTTCGGGGGGCTGGAGGGGGCTGCCGCCGCCGAACTGGTGGCGTCGGGCTGCTTCCGGTATTTGCTGAGGGGATCCACCGCCGCAGGCTTGACGTCGCGCACGGCCTCAGCACTCGCCGGCGAGGCCAACGGGCTGGCCTCGCTCGAGCCACCACCACTCGGGGCGATGCGGTACTTGCTGAACGGGTCGCTCACGGTCGGGGTCAGCGGCCGCACCTCGGCCACCACCGTGGTGGCGCCCGACGCTGTGGCCGCAGTGGCGTCGTTCTGGACTCGGTACTTGCTGAAGGGGTCGGCGTTGGCATTGGCGCTGCGAGGCGAGGGCAGCCCGAAGCTGGTCTTGACCTTGGGCGTCGCGAAGCCCAAGCAGCCGCTGGTGGCGCTGGTGCCGGTCGGGGTGGTGGGCTTGTTGAACGACGCTACGGGCGAGGTGACCGGGAGGGACTTGATGCGGGGCGGGGCCGACGCGGTCAGGCCCACCTGGGTCTGGCTCAGCGGCGCCGGCTTGGCCTGGGGCGGCGACACCGAGCTGCTGCTGGTGGTGGGCCTCACCGTCAGGTCTGACCCCGAGACAGAAAGGCGTCGGTTCTTGTCAACCGGCGCGGCCAGCGACGATGACGATGACGATGAGGTCGCGGTCGGTGTGACAGGGGCCGACCCGGGGCCGCCGGCTGATGAGGGCTGGACGCGGAAGCGGTCTAGACCCGCGGGCGCGCGAGCGGGCGCGGAGGCTGTGGCGGTGGCTGTGGTGGTCTCAGAAGCCTGATCGCCGGCCGAGCGCTGGCTGCGTCGCAGCTCGAGGGTGTGCTTGCGGGTGAGCAGCCGCTGCATCTCAGCCTCGAGCTGACGTCGCTCCGCCTCGTCGATCTGAAACTCGGCCTCTTCGTTTTCGCTCTTTTGGTCTCCTTCTGGTTTCTTCGTGGGCTGCACCCGGTACTTGTCGAGCGACTCCTCGGTCAGGCGCCGGTTGAAGGTGGCCAGCTGCTGGGAGAGGGCACGCAGCTCTTCCTCGTCCCTGCGCTCGCTATCGACGCCCGTAGGCGACAGCGGACTGGGCGACAGCGCCGCCGCGCCGCCGCTGGGCGAGTCCTTGATGCGGTACTTGTTCAGAGCATCTCCCGCGTCCTTCTTCGGGAGGTCCAGCCCTGGCATGCGGAATCTCTCCATCTCTTTGGCTGGGTCGCCTAATAGAAGATATAAAAATAAGGATGTAAATATTTGTGATGTGCTACAGTTAATCTTGGAAGAAAATACAGATAAAAACAATAATAGTGTGAGTAACTTCGGGGAGGAAGAGGTACTGAAGCCGAGTGACTGTTCAGACTGTGGTTGCTTTACAGCACCTCGAACTGGACGGTGACTGATCTGCTGCGCAGCAGACGATGATCTCTGGGTTGGGGCGTGGTTGCTCTGCCGCGCCTCGTTCTGGTCTGAAATCGTGTCTTGTGCCCTCACCGGTTGACAAGCTTTCCTTATTTGTGTTGTGCAGCTTTTTTACCAAATTCAAAATATTTTAAGGCCTATTTATTTTTAAATGTCAGCTCTGCTCCTCGTCGTCGTTGTCGTCCTCGGCGGGAATGGGCCGCGTGCGTCGTCCGCTGCAGGCGGCAGTCGTCATGATGTGTTCGTCGTTCTTCTCCTCGCTCGAGGCGACTGTGCGTTGCGCGGCGGCGTCGTCTTCGCTTTTGATGGTCGCTACACCGCCCGCCGGCGGACGACCGCCGTCGTTGCTGGAGGAACCGGCGAGCTGCGGCGAGTCGATGAGCTCGGGCGACGAGGACTTGGCGCCGCCGTCGCGTCGCTTGCGCTTGGCGATTCGACGCCGCTTCCCCGCGGCCGCCGCCATCGTCGTTGTCGTCGGGGCGGCGTCTGGGCCGGGGCTCATCGGCGTCACCGGCGACTTGTCGCTGTTCTCCTCCTCCTTGTCGTCGTTGTCGTCGTTGTCGTCGTTGGCCGGTCGAGCCTCCAACGACACCTCACCCGCCTTCCGCTTCTTCTCCGCCTCGCGCTCCTCAGGCTCGGCCTTGACTGACCGCATCTCTTCTGTTGGCCTCGTCTGCTTGGCGCCGGCAACGATCGTGGGCGTGGGCGCAGGCGATGGGGCCGCGGCTGCGGTGGCCTTGTCCAGATGGTTCAGGTCGATGGGCTCGGCTGGCTCGCTCGTCGTGGGCCTGTCGCCCACCGGGACTACCCCATAGAGCGCCGTGATCCGTTCCGCCTCCCGCTTGCCGCTCACGTAGGCCCCGGCGACCGAGCTCGGGTGGCGCCGGTTCGTGGCCTCGCCGGCGAAGAACAGGCGAGCGGCGACGGGGGCGGCCAGCACGTCGTAGTCGGCGCCGGTGGCGCCCGGCGGGATGTACGAATGCGCCCCGCCTGAATACGGATCGCTGGTCCACCGCGTCACAATACTCTGTCGTCGACGCGCAGACTGTTGGCAACACAGCACACGCGACACATAACACGACACACACGGCACGACACGCAACACGACGCGTGCGGAGAAAAGGTGGAGATTGCGGACCTTGAGCGGCTTGGCCGAGTTTTTGTAGACGGTGTGGAGGAAGGTGAGGGCCTCGTCCACGATTTCACTGTCCTCCTGGGCCTCGGCCTCCTCCGCCGCTTGTCCCGATTGGTAGGCCACCAACACGGGATACCTGCCACGACGACGTGGTCATCATCAACACATCAGTGTGTGCGGTGCGTGTGTGCGTGCGTGCGTGCGGTGCGTGCGTTACCCAAACACTTTGGTCATGCTGAGATAGAGGTAGGAGCGGCCCTGGTGCTCGCCCGCGCGTCCGAGCCAGAACGTCTGGTCACACACGACACACACACGACACACACACAATCCATCAGTATACATTTCCTCACTTCCCCGTTCCGCGCACGTGTACCTGCTTGTCCCAGAAGATGGTGGAGAAGAAGAGCACGACGACGTTGAACGTCCCGCAGCCCAGCCTCTCAATGCTCCGTCGCTTTTCCTCGGGCAGCGGCGGCACGAATTGAACCGCGCTGAATTAAACACGCATACCAATCAATACTATCAATTAAAATATTATAAAAATATACATTATAAAAATATACATTATAAAAAAATATAAATGTAAATATATATTTATATTTTTTATATTGCAAATATGTTTGCAACGCAATGTAATGTAATGGTGGAGGCAATGTAATGTAATGTACCCTTGCTTGAGCACGCCCAGGGGAAGGGTGCACACGACCAGGTCGGCTTCGAATGCGCCCTGGTTGGTGCCGAGCTTGACCAGGCCCCCATCGTCCGAATAGTCCACGGACTGCAACAGCGAGAGAATTGAGAATTGAGAATTGAATGCGACTGGGGGGAGAAAGAGAGAGAGAGCGCACCTCGACGACGTGGTTGAGTCGCAGGTCCAGCTTGCCGCGCGCCACCAACTCGTCGATCAGTGCGGCGTGGCCCTCCTTGACCAAACTGGTTCACACACCGCGACGCGTCACGTCAAACAAGAGCACAAGGTGGTGTGGTGTGGGTGGTGTGGTGTGGGTGGGCTGGAGTACCTGTGGGGTCCCTGATACTGGGTGGCGTTCTCCTGGTCCCAGTGGAAGAGCGAGAGCCGCGACAGCGGCGCGCCGGCGCAGCCCTCCAGCATCGCCGCGTGCCAGTCCACCACGCGCGCCTCCAACTCGGCCTCTGTACGGTCGCGTTCGGGCCCGGCCGGCGGCTGAGCCAACGCGTCGTCATCGGCGGTGGCGGTGGCGGTACTGCTGGCCGGCGGCAAGCTGGCCCTGAGCTCTGCGATCCTGTCCATCGCCTGCTGCAGGGTGGTGGTATCGTCGAAGCTGGCCACCAGCTCGTTGAGGAGGGCCTTCCTGGCCCTCGCCAGCCGCTCCTCTTCATCCTCCTCCTCTTCCTCCTCCTCCTCCTCTTCCTTCTTCTTCTGCTTCTTCGTCTCCTCGGCCTTCTCCGCCTCCCTGTCGCCGTCGTCGTCGTCGTCGTCGTCGGCCGAGCTGCCCTTGGACGGTGCAGCGCCCTTGCCCTTCCGGTTCTTGCCGCCCTTGTCCCGCTTCTTCGCCGCCGCCGAAGACGAAGCCGACGTCGATATCTTGAGCGCGTCCTTCCGTCCGCTCTTGTTGGGCTTTCTCGAGGCGCTGCCGCCGCCTCCACTGCTGCCCTTGTCCGCGGCGGCCTTTTGCATCTTCTCTTGCTCGGCCTCGCGTTCCTGGCGCTCCTCGTCCCTGCGCTTCCTCATGTGCCGAGCGACGTGCGCGTGGCCGAGCATCGCATGAAACCTGCGGTGCGCACCCCAAAATCGCCGTTGTTTAAGAAGGCGTGCGACGTCAGCAATGTGCTCTAGATGTGTGTCACGGTATGTAGGTACCGTGTCTGGGCCTGCTGTTCGACGTGCTTGGGCACGGTGCGGCCGGAGTGGTCGAAGAGCAAACAGCGCTCGGCCGGTACCTGCTGCGTGTGAAGACCCAGGGACTCGCACAGCCGCGCGATCGGGTTGCCCTCCGCACCCCTGATACACCGCACGCGCTTCAGCCCATTGATCACACACACACGACACACACACACACACACCACACACACACACACACACAGAGAGAGAGAGAGAGAGAGGCGCCTGGCCTGGCGTACTTGATGAAGGAGGCGCCCAGCTCGATCGCGATGGAGAGATGGGAGGACTTGGAGCCCTTCATCTCCTTCTTCATGGTCTTGATCCGACCGCCGGCTCGCTCACGAGCCTCCTGCACGCGTCGGGTCGGGTGCGCGGTCAGTAAGGGAAACTCGAAAAGAAAAAAGGGAAGAAAAAAGAGAAGCAAAACGGCCGTGTACGAGGATAGTGACGCGGTAGCCGGCGTGCTGGAGCTGTATGGCAGCGCTGATGCCGGCGATGCCGGCCCCGATCACCACCACCTGCCGTGGTTCCATCGTGTATGCCGGGTTCCTCGCAGTCACCAGCATTTCTGTACTCGACACACACACACACACACACACACACACACACACACACAACGATTAGTTACTGGTTGAGAGCATGCTCAGAGCGCACGCGCGGGTAGAGCGTTGTGCCTTCTTCGGCGCTGGTGGTGGGTTCGGCTTCGGCGAGAAGCTCGGGCTCGGGTTCGAGTTGAAGCGCGGATTTGGGCTCGAGCTTGACCGCAGAGAGTGTGACCGCGGGCCTGGTGGACACTTCCTCCCGTTGCTGCTGCCGCTGCGCCGCCTCGTGGGTGGTTTCGAGGTCCATCGTCATCACGGCCGCTCCGTGCCTCGACTCTTCCCCCTTCGTCGCGCCCGACGTCATCGGCCCGCCTTCGGGCTTCGACTCCTGTTCTGCGGGGGTGGTGCGGCGCTTCTTGTTGGAGGCCGCGGCGTCGAGTCCCTCTTCGACATTGTCAAAGGACTTGGTCTTGCGGCTGTGTGTGTGAAGAACGAAGTCAAGCCCACGTTTGTCTACAACACGCGCACACGCACACACACACACACACACACACACACACACACACACACGCCCGTACCTCCGTCCACTGCGCCGAAGGTGGGTGGGCGAGCCCGCGGGAGACGGCTCGACGGAGTGGTCGCTGGAGTCTTCGCTCTGGGCCGACGACGACAGTCGCTGCTGCAGCTGCTTCTGCTGGCCACTGCTCCGCAGCCTCCGCTTGCCACTGTGCGACGTGTCCGCCACATGGTCAGTTGACATTTCGTCGTTCTTGTGGCGCCGGCCTTGGGCTCCCTCCTCCTCGTGCTCCTCCTCCTCCATGTTCTCCACCTCAGCCGCAACGTGTTGTTCACTGCCACCGGCGAAGGGCCTCGTGTTGGGCGCTGCAGCGCCGGCCGGCGGCGAGGCGCGGTCGTGCCGCTGCTGCTCGGCTTGCTCGGCCAGCGCGGCGAGCAGGTCGATGCCGTGGTGCGTGTCGGCCTTGTCGTCGCGGGAAGATGCCGCCGCGGAGGGCGACGATCGTGGCTGGCTCGATAACGCCGGCGTCGATGTCGGGGTCGCAACGACCTCCTTCTTGCTCGCCCGCGTTTCCCTCGCTCCAGCTTGTCGCTCCCGCTCCCGCTCCGCACGCCGCGCCTCCTTCCTTTCCTTCTTTTTCTTCTTCTTTTCCTTCTTGCTGTTGCTGCTGCTGCTGCTGTGACTGCTCGCGGCGCTGCTGGCGCTGGCGCTCAGGCTTGGGTTCGCGCTCGCGCCGGTGGCGGTGCCAACGCTGGTGCTCGTAGTTACGCCGCTGTTGCTGTGCTGCTTGTTGGCGTTGTCTGCGCTCCGCTGGCGCTCCTCCTTTTCCTTCTCCTCGCGCAGTGCCTCGAGAAACGTCGCCACCTGGTGATGGTGGGGTACTTTAGTCAACATTGTGTCTCAAATGCGGACTGACAGTGTTGTGTGTGTGTGTGTGTGGTGTGTCGTGTGTGTGGCCAAACGTAACGTACGTTCAAGACGGGCAGCCCCACGGGGCCGGATGCCGACGCGGCCTGGCTCAGCAGGTTCTGCGCCTGCGCGGCGTGGAAGGCCGCGATGCTGCTGGCGTCGGGAACTCCCGCGGCAAACGTGCCTGAACCAGCCAAGCCCCCCAGAAGAGAAAGAAGAAGAACTCGTCAGAGAGGGAGGGGAGGAGCGCTGGGCTTGAGGTGGGCAGCTCACACGGAGAGAAGGTGGTACCCATCCCGGCGTAGAGGTTGGGTAGCACTAGCCCCGTGGCGTCGAAGCCCTGCCCGGCGGAGCCATAGATCTGCGCGTGCGTGTGTGTCGTGTATGCCGTGCGCGTGTGCGTGTGTGCCGTGTGTGCCGTGAGTGTCGTGTTGTGTCGTTGTCGTGTCGTGTCGTGTCGTGTCGCGTGGTCCACCAGAGCTGCTGGTGAGCAAGCCGCGACCGACTCGTGCGAGCGAGCTGAGCCCGCCCGTGACCTGGTGCGGGTACGAACCTGCATGATCCGCGTCTTCATCAGCAGGAGCTGATACTGCAGGTTGAGGTACGCATCCCAGTCCATCCTCCTAAACATCCGTGTCACGTGGAGAACGCGCGGGGCAGGGGCGTGAGCTTGGCACCGTGTGGTGGAGTGCAGCCGCGGCCCAACCGCGCAAGATGCTAAAAAAAATATGTTCTTCGAGGCGCAGTTGACGAGAAGCAGGGAGGAGCCACTCGCGGAGGGCAGCCAGCCGATTTGGATTGTGATTCTCAAATGGAATTGGAAAAAAAAAGAAG